CTTTCAATGAATGCAACATCAACAAGTTTTGTGAGGACCTCTGCTGTGGCTCTGAAGTGTCTGAGCCACAGAGACACCTGAGTGTGTCTCTGAGCTCCCTTAAGGTTCCTGGGTCACAGTGAAGCTGAGGCAGGCATTAGGCATGTGCAGACCCTTCATCTGAGCACAGGGTTAGGAGCAGTCACAGCACACGCAGGACCAGATGCCTGAATGTGGGTCTCCTTTGCTATTTGAAATGCCCTGAGGTCACTCTTCCATCTCTCTGCTGCAGCTTCAGCAGGTTGAGGGCCTCCCGTAGTTCCCCAGTCACATCACCAAGAGGTTGTTTCAGACACAACCACAGCTCTGAAGCCCATGCGCAGGCACCTGCATTGCTGCTGAGCAGAATGGTGCTGGAAGGTGGTGGAGCAACTGCCACTAGCAGACATCACTTGCAAAGACATGGCCCTTCCACAGACGGCATTGAAATGCCAAGCAGGATGATCTGGCTTTGAGGAGTGGAAAGTTGAAGGCATTAACTGAAATATAGGAAAATTTAGAAAAATATTCTAGACATGTTGGAACCCTTCCTAAGCCCCAGCTTCAGGAAAGAGGAAAAAATCTTTCCAGGAGAGGGAACCACATTACTGATGTATCTGCTCTGACACCCAATTACTTGCACGTCACAAGTCCAGGAGACAATTCTGTGTTCTGTGGGTTCTCACAGCCTCCCAGATTCAAGACGTTTGCTCAAGTGTTGAGGAATCACGGTGTGACGAAGAAGTTCATACAGCTGTGGGACACCAACCAATACTGACTTTTGGTTGGGCCACTTGCAGATCCCTTTGTGAACGAAGGCAGAGCTGGGCTTCCTGTGTCATTGGCACCAGTTTATGAATGTTCGTGATGGGGACAGGTAAGAGAGGGGCTGGGTGTTCAAACCCAAAAAGACAAGGGAGACAGGAGTTTATGCTGTTTTCTTTATGCAGATTTGGAAACTGTTCCAGTTTGTTGCTTATTTTTTATTGCTCCTCAAATGTTTCTTTCCCTTTCTGGTGATGTTCTTATTCCCACACTAGATGATAATTGAGATCCTGGATGAGATCCCTTCCCAGCCAACTGTTCTCACTCTCAGCCCATTCACTGCCAATCACCACTTGTGCAAACTGGATTGCCCTTCTCCATGCTGATGGCTCCCACCCTGTGTGGATGTTTGAGCTCTTCTCCTCCTTCAGATAAATGGTTTCAAGAAGGCTCATGTTATTGTGTGTTCAAGCAACAGGTCACTTCAGCAAAGTAAATACCTTAACAAGAAGAACAGGTGCAGCTCTAAAGGTGGTAAAACCAGGATCCAGATGGATTGACTTTACCAATGAGGAAAAAAAGAGAAAGGTTAGTTCAGGCTAACTGACTTGCACTGACAGTAGATGCTCAGCATCTGTTGATGTGGTGCCTCATACTCTGGGTAGTTTTGAAAATTTGCCTGCAGACCAAGGGGTGTTGCTGAAGGACTAACACTATTTCAGGCTTTGCAGGGAGTAAAAGACATTCATTGTTCTCTCTTGGTTAAGTGCCAGCGCAGCTGAAGCTACTTCCCTGGCATTGGCAGAATCTCTGTACCCCCTCTGTGGGATTGCTCCTTCTGGGCTGCCATGCCCTGCATAGTCAAACATCAGCCTACCTTCCCATATCCTGAGTTTGCAATACACAGCTTTGCACCATCGCAGTGTCTTACGCATTTCTCAGGGCTCTTAGAGATGATTTTTCACTATTTCTCCTTTCCACCCCAGTTCTAGTTGGTCTGATATGTGGCGGTGTTTGGTCTTTGCTGGCACCAGGATATGGGTGGGTTGGGGTTTGCTTGCCAGACAAATTCATTTGAGCAGTGTTGTGTTTCCGACATACCTGAAGCCCTTTTCCTCCTCCTTGAAGTTGCTCAGGGGTATTAGGTGCAGAAGTGAGTTATGTGCCCCGTTTTAAGTGGCACTTCTGAAACAAGGTCCCTGTACTTCAAGCAATATTGCCAGTGATGGCAATGGCTGGGTGGCTGATGTGGTCCTTGGCACTGAGCAGTCCCAACACTTTGCCCTTTGACAGCTTTGTTCCAGTCTGTTCCAGTGCCATCAATCTCCAGTGGGAATTGCTCACGTTTCAGAATCCAGTCCTCTTACTCCAACCTGAAATCATTACTTTTCACATGAGAAGTCAGTTGTGATCTTAAGTAACTCGTCTCTCTCTCTAGCTTTGCTGTATTGACAGCAGTCCATTCTCTCCTGAGCCTTCATTTGCTTACCGTGAACAAGACAATTTTCTTAGCCTTTCCCCATTAGATTAGATCACCTTCCCTGCCCCTACCTCTCTTCTGGCCAATGTCTGGCTTAGCAGAGTTAGGAGGAGAGTTATTAAAGCTGCATGATGAAAGCTCATGATAGGAGCAAGTCCCTCCTCCCCCTATCTAAGATTCACTTAAACTGAGCCAGGCTCTGGAAAGGGTGCGTAGACTCCGGGGCAAAAGGGAGTCATCTGAGCAGGGATACATTTAATCTGGAAGATGGGAGCTTCTTTAGAGCCGTTGTTTCTGAAAATGCCTTGCAGGATAGGCAAGACCTGGCTGCTTTTGAAATGGAAAGGAGGATGGAAGTAGGTGCTAGGGATCCTTACCGCAGAAGAAAATTACAGCTGAGGATTTCAGTCTCTGTGGCTTTGGAGTTTAAATGTTTTGTTAGATCTGAGCTATCTTGCCATGGTGAGTGGGAATGGCAAGAATTTGTAATTGATTTATGTTCTTGCCTTTTCCCATACACATGAGAGATTTACTAGCTGTTGAAAGCTCCATATAGCCATTAGCCGAGCTTCAAACTCTTACACTATCTGACATCACCTTGACAACGTGTCTATCCTCAGTGCTCTGAGTGCGCGGTTACTTTTCTGTGTGGTACAGCTCGGTGGTGCCTTGCTGGTGTTGGTTGTTTCTCAGTTTGTCTGTGCTCTGGAGAACACTCTTCTCACAGCTGACCATGCCAAGGGTCTTAACAGATCCTCACACTGAATCTGCTGATGTGGTTGCATCTCTGGTTATGCTTTGTTTTGACCCTGTGGACACCACCATTTGGGCTAGAGGCTTTTTTCTGTCCTTTTCTCAGTTCTAGGATCTTGTGTTCTTGTATATAAGCTGTATTTTAGGGTTTCTGTTTTCCTTCGGGTAAGTTGTCAACTTGCTACCACTGCTGGAGCATAATTTCCTTACAGCCTTGATGAAAGTATTTGAAAATTGCTCTCAGTGACTTAAAATAAAGCTTTTCAGTGGTTTGTGATGTGTTCCTATCTGCACACTTCCTTGTCCCTGTACATTCTGGGTAAGTTTTCACATGCAGAGTTGTGTAAGATGCTTTTCGTGTATTAGAAGCCTGACAACAGCAAGCTTCGTTTGAAAGCTATGGCAGTCCTTGCAGGATAGCCACTCAAAGTACCTTTCACTGGCATTATGTTATAGAAACCTCTCTCCTGGTGGGTCAGGAGGAACCAGCTGCTCATCAAATCAACCTCCACCCAATTGTAAAAGCCTATAATTGATATTGAAGAGATATTAAGAATGTTAATCAGCATTACAAAGGTAACTATTTACTGGATCAGACATTGATAAGCACAAGGCAGCCGTGCTGGTCTCTATGAACAGGCTCCAAAAGGGAGCTGGTCTCTGCACCACCAGTACAGAGGAGTGACAGTGCCTGAGGTGCTTGTCTTTTCCATGTCCTGGTGCAGGAACAGTGAGGAGGTTGTGGATGAAGATCTTTGCTTTGGCAGCTTCTCCTGTGGTTGCACTTGGAAGAGTGGATCAGCAAGGCCTGCAGTCACTTCTCTCCAGTTTTCCCACAAAACTCAGGAGAAGGGTCCTTGTCTAAGCAATGGGAGCAGGGGGCCCAGGCAATGCCTTTATTTATTGTCATGCCTTTCCTCAGTTTCTTCTGAAACTGATGAAATATTTCTACATGAAATATTACTGAGGCTTGTCCATTGTACTGTTCTCAGGGATTTGATCTTGTTCTTTAGGTTGCAGGTGACAGTCAATGTGGTTTTGTGCATCCTCAGACTATTTGCTTTTGAGAATCTGCAGCTTTCAGCCCTCTCTGGAATTTAATATTTATACTCCTCTTAAGGGACAGCTACTTGAGCAAGGCCTGTTGTGCACATGATGAATCATGAAGCTTTGTTTTTTTCAGCCTAATCATTGCACTTACTGCAAAGATCCTGTTCATGCAGTGCTTTTTGGAGATGAAATGCAGTTGGAGCACTTCCAGGTTATACTTGCATTTTCCTGATTTAAATCTTATTCAGATGCTGTCTAAACACGTACCTGCCTCTGGCCATGACAACATCAGTAGCTGCTCTTGCTTTGTTTATCTTACTGTGTAGACATGTGGCATTTCTGCCACTTTAACCACTCTATTTGAGGAACGTCCAGTTGCTCAGCTTGATCCCTCCAATGCCTAGATGCATGGCTGCTAGGATCACTGGTTTTCTCTTTCTCTCCTCCATAATACTGATTTCTGATCTCCTGAACACCTTGCAGCCAGCTTATTTGTTGGTGAGGTTCAGTGCTTGCAGAGAGAGTGAGACAGCCGGTGTCTGTGCTGTCCAACACATCCTGCTCCCTCTTATTACAAGTTTTCTTAAAAGATCTCAGGGTTGCCATGCACAGACCCTCCCTGAAGGGGGGCTGTCCCTCCAAGCAGTCATTGCTCTAGCAGCCCAGAGCCTTGCTATCATGTTTGCCCCTGCTTGCCAGCCAGCTCCTACACACAGTGCTGCTGGAATGCCCTTGCAAAACCGGCTTTCCAAGTTTAGCTCAGGTCCAAGCAGCAAGCGCAGCCTTTCTGAAGAATTGCTCCAGAATCTCATTCCAGCTTTGTGCCACCCACGTGTAGTTGATCAAGGGAATCTAAACTCTGCTGCACAACATCGGGTGCTCGTGACTCATTTTCCAAGTGCAACACGCCAGCGGTTGATTCTTGACTGGAAGGATGGAGCTTTTGCTCTTTCACTACCCGTTTACTTTTCTGTTCATTGCATTCCTAGTCCTTTACCAGGTGAATCCTGCATTCAGATACTTCTGCAAAATGACCTTCTACAAGTTGTGGCTCTTCACCCTGAGCATTCTGGTTATTATGATCAGTATTCCTCGTGGACGTAATGTGGAAAACATGAAGTAAGTTTTCTGTGGCTTCTTTCTGCTTCGGGAATTGATAAGGTCAACTCATGCTCTGTGTTGGGGGGTCCTGGGAGTTGCTCTGCAGTGAGGAGGAACTGATTGTCTATTGGTGTAGAGAGTTGACAGGCCCTGTAATTCAGAGAAGGGTTGTGGGTTTTAGTATTGTATTTGAGTTGATAAAAAGAATAATGAAGGAAGGACATAAAAGGTGACATAAATTTGATAAGCTGGGTAATGCAAACAAACTGGATGTAATGCACAGGTAAAGTAACTTGCTGTTTTTAGTAAATCTCTCCTATCTGGTCTTCAGAGCTGTGTTTTCCTCCTTCATGTGGAGGAAGTGGCTAATCGTTTCCTTTCTAAGTCGTGTTGAGAAAGCCTCAGCATGTGCTTTCTCAACTTTATTCTGACACGGTGTCCACCAGACATCACCACAGGGCAGTGCTGGTGCCTGCACCAACATTGGTGTCCCCACCACTGCAACGACAGCCCTGTGCCCACAGCTCTGGCAGCCTCTGAGCCTGTCCGGTTGCTGCATGTCTCCTCTCTCTGTACGCTACTGCCTCTACAACGAACTGCTGTGCAGCTAGGTGTACGTGTGTTGGGCTGTGGCATGAGTGAGGGCTGGAAGCTGCCTCTGCTACACAGCAGCACAGTGCCTGTAGCCTCCTGAAGTGCTGCAGAGGCAGGATTTACTGCTTCAATGCTGCAATGGGAGTTTGTATCCTTTAACTGAGCATCAGACTCTCACTTTAAGAAATTTTCTTCAGTTCCTGACTCTTGTGCTTGACTTTTTTATTACTTTCTTTGTTTTTTCCAGTATCTGTTAAAATTTGACTACCAGAATTGCAGTCTAATGTCACTTAGAGGCAAAATTATCTCTCTTCCCACAGCCTGGGCAACAGCAGAGTTAGGCTAATGTTTATTGTGTCCTGTGTTCATGATTAAGCAAGATGGGCAGGGAAGTAGAGTGCAAACAGGTGCACTATGAATTTGGGCATTATCTAATATTTGGCTGATCCACGGAACTGCTGTAGCTGTAGTTGCTGGGCCATTGGTCTAATCTGGCTTGAAGAAAACCTTCTAGGTGTATTTGTCTTTAATGAAATGATGAGCTGAAGAGACATACTAGTTATACTTCTTCAAGACATGGGCAAATCTGTGTCTGCAGAGAAACCTGCTGCTCTGCAGAAGCACATTGTGAGATTGGCTGGTTTGGAAGAAAGGTGTTTGGTCCCATTACCCAATTTCAGTTCCTCTTTGCATAAAGTCTGTGCCCCTTTTCCAGGTTTTTGCGCATGTCATTCCTGCCACTCAAATACATCTTTGGTGTCAAGATAGTGGTGAAGGGCAAGGAGAACCTCAGGTCTAAGAAGCCTTTTGTCCTCGTGATGAATCACCAGACCTCCCTTGACATTATGGGTATGTGGTGATCCTGCTTCCTGCTCCTGGCCCCAGTTGTCACTAGGGGAGGGTAGTACCAAACCCCACGTACTGCAGGTAGAGGGGCAGGAGTGGCTGCCACATAGTCCAGAACCAGCTAGCCCCAACCAGGGCTGGTCTCCAGGGTATTAGAGCTAGGGTTGTTCACCAGGGTACTAGAGGTATTTTCAAGCTTAAAGAGCTTCATCCTTTCCAACAGAATGCTGACAAACACATCAGTTGACCACAGACATGTCATAGCAGCTCTCATTCATTGTGGGCAATAGTTCTGTTCTAAGGGGGAGGTTTGTCTGCAGATGCCCAGAATCCCTTTCCCAACATGTTTCTGATCCTACAAAACTGGATGAGCACTGCAGGCATGGCATTTCCCTGAGCAGAGGGCTGTAGCCCAGAATCTGGAGGAAACTCCAGTGCACATGATGACTTGTTCTGTCCTTGTTCTCCCCTTCAGTGATGATGGAGATATTACCAAGTCGCTGTGTGCCTATTGCAAAGAAGGAAATCCTATACATGGGCACTTTTGGCCTTGCGTGCTGGCTTTCGGGACTCATTTTCATTGACCGCAAGAAGAGGGAAGAGTCCATCGCTACCTTGACAGAGGTGGCTCATTCCCTGCACCAAGAAAATGTGAGTGTGGAGGACTCTGGTCAGGCACCATTGGAAAACATGAGCCTTGATGTGGCTGGAAAGGGATCTTTGTCTCTGGGCTGGGCACTGAGCAGAACAGAGCAAGATCATCTCTGATGGGGTCAGTGTTTTGAGTGTCCATAAAGAGCAAGTGGAGGAAGAGAATGTCTGCATGGTCAGAAGCAGACAGACCAGTCCCAGGGGATATGCCTGTGCAGTGGCTTAGAACAGTAACTGGAGGTCCCTCCATCTCAGTGTCTTCTCCCTCCTGCAGTTCCGTGTCTTGATCTTCCCTGAAGGAACTCGCAATCATGGTGGTGCCATGTTGCCCTTCAAACGTGGGGCCTTCCAGCTGGCTGTGAAAGCCCAGGTGAGAGCTACCTTCTTCCTGACCCTGGAGTGTGGTTTGCCTACCATGGTCCACCACCAGTCAGGGCAATGTGGGTCCTGGTCTCTGGCTTCCCTTTGGATCGAACACGCATCCAGGAGCCCCTAAGGAGCTTGCAGGTGGCACAGGAGGGGGTGTTTCTGGGGCAAGTGGAAAGCCTTCATAACTCAGTTTGGGAAAAAAGTGGGGGAAACTTGACAAGCCCCCTGTTTGGGGGGTGCATGCATTGTTGCCCTAAATACAGAGACAAAAATGCAAAAATCAACAGCAAGGAGACTGGGTGGTACAGTTGAAGGTATCCCAGTAACCCTCTGAGAGTCAACTATGAAGCTGACAGGGGTAATTATCAGCAAAATGCAGGTTTTATCTAAAAACACTAGTTCCATTTTAGGGGAGGAATGGGGAAATTTGTAGATTCACTGCAGACTGTCTCCCCTCCAGGTCCCCATTATTCCTGTAGTGATCTCTTCCTACTGCAACTTCTACAACCAGAAGGAGAAGAGGTTCACACGAGGTGAGGATGACCTGGGGCAAAGAATGGGCTCGCTGTTGGTGTGAGCTCAGTCCTTGGAGGGAGCCATGGGGTGGGTAGGCAGAGGACCACGTGCCAGACAACAGCAGTTTCTGTCTTCTTGGGGCAGGGTGTGGGGCAGGGAATGGGAGATTTCAGGCATCGCTGTTGCCTCTCTCCTTTGCAGGGACACCTTCCACTAGAGCAGGTTGCTCCAAGCCCCTGTGTCCAACCTGGCCTTGAACACTGCCAGGGATGGGGCAGCCACAGCTTCTCTGGGCACCCTGTGCCAGGGCCTCACCACATATCTGCTCAGCTGGGTTAGATTGCTGCTCTGGGAAGTCAGAGAACAGTGCAGTGGGGAGGGACCTCTTGAAGCAGCTGAACCTTTTGCTTTTAAGCAATGCCAGCTCTAAAAAATTATGAGTTTTCTCTGTGCCTTGTCCAGTCAAGTTTGGAGTAACTCCAAGGAAGGAGATTACACAACCTCCTTGAGCTTTTTAGGAAAGACTGTTTGCAGTTGGATATACATTTGTGTTTATAATAACCTCACCTGGGGAGTTTGTGTTTAGCTGATGTCTAAGCCTTCCAAATTGCTGTTGAACAGATAGGACCTTAACTGCTGGAGAAAGAACCACATTTAGCTTTTCCTGTACCTTCCTACTTTTCCCACCCACAAGTTTTGCCAGGGCTGTTTCTGAAGGTGTGCATACATGGCCAAGGCTTCTTCACATTGAGCAGTCTGGTCCTCAGGTCAGGACAGCTCACCATGTCCACAGTGGATCTGAGCATGCTGGTGAGCTTTGGGAAAGCCCAATTATGTGGCCAGTGTGTGCACACTGTCCTGCATAGAGCAAGTCTGGTGCTTCCTGGAAGTTTGCTGTGCCCCAACAGACCTACATTTTCAGCACTCAGCTTTTCCTGTAGGACCAGCTGCTGAGCTACCAGGCCTAGCTTTGGATGTAAGAGGTACCTGCAGGGAGCGTGTTCTCTTCTTTTGTGAAGCTCTTCTCTACACTTCTGTTTAGTTTCCCTTGCATGGCTCTGGTAGCAACACGTCTGGATCCCATTTCCTAGCACACATGTAAAGGCATGCAAGAAAGTTAGAAGATAACTCAGACACTCCCCAGATCCTCAGGAGGGTGTCAGTGCAGGCAGCGTCTTGTCTCCGCTGGCCAGAAAAAGAGCCACTGGGTGCAAGAGCAAAAGAGCACGATAACAGCTTCCCAGTATGTTCCTTCTGTTTGCAGCTTCCCAAGAGGAGTATGACATGCCTTGGCCAAACAAGGAGTCCTGGGCACAATTCCTCTCATCCCAAAGTGTGTTTTTGGAAGGAGGGACTCTGCTGAGTTTGGCATACATAGATCAGAGCATGGGCAGTTTGGATATATTGTATTACAACTCTCATTCACTTTGCTGTGATCTAGACAGACCTTGAGGTCTTCCCATTGTGAAAACTTATTATATACAAATCACTGCATTGGATGTATAGGGGAAGAGATTCAACTCTTTCAATATTTATGATCTTCATAGTCTCTGCTGATGGGAAAAGCCTGGTTTGGGGTTTTGATGTGTGCATATGGGACATTACCAAGTTACTACACCACTGCTGCTGTGTGAAAGAGAGCATTTCCTTTCATTTCTTTATTGTTCCTTGTTTTGCACCAGTCCCTCTGCTATATCTATCTTCTCTTTTTCTTCTATATTACATATAGAAAATACTAATGTATTTTCTTCCTCCTCGCTGATCCTCCTATCTCGCTCTCCCAGGAAAAAGCATCATCCAGATCCTGCCAGAAGTGAAGACCCTCGGCCTGGGCCCCGATGATGTTCCCAAGCTCACCGAGCAGGTCCGTGACTCCATGCTCACCACCTATCAGGGGATATCAGGAATGACGAACATAGCTTCCCATTAGTGATCCTATATCCAGCTCCTGCTGTATGTGTAGCAGCTGATGGGGAGGGCATGGCAACCATAAGAAGGTCTGGCAGAAGAGACAACCATGGATTATAACCCCAACGTATCAGAGACAGGAAAAACATCCACGGAGGAAGGAAAGCTTGTAAGTGGAGGTGGTGAAACATTTACCATGTTCCTTCCAGAGAACTGTGCCACCTGCACAGACAGACACATGGTGGTTAGCTGGACATTTCTTTGTAATTGTAACCCTGAGTACTTCTCTCCAGCTGGACCCAGGCAGAGCTGGACCCTTGCTGTTATCATCACTCGGTGCTTTTAATCAAAATTCCTATTCAAAACCAACAAGGTGGAGGCATTTATCCCAAGCATGTGACCATTCTGCCTGGGGAAGTGGCTGTCTTGTGGTTTGAAGGCTGTCACATTCCCTAGAAACACACTCGGGAGAAGGCACTGTTTCTGTGGGGAGGACTTGGGAGGCATCTCTGTCACAAGAAGGGAAAACCAAGACAACTTTGGAATTAAAGATCTTAAACGTGTCTGCAGGGCTCAGTGATTTCTTTGTTTTTCTTAGCCTTCCATTTAAGCAAACCAAGATTAGTGTTCAGTAGTTGGACAGATCTTGAAAGTGTGAGGGGAGCATAACTGGAGGCTCGGAAACCAGAGGCAAACAAACAGTAAAACATGTTGCTTCACATCTTTGCCGTGCCCTGATAATCCCATGATAACAACCAATATATTCTTCAACTCAAATACACTCTGAGAGCTGCAGCGCCTGGTTTCTGGATCCTGCCTGGTTTTGTCCTGTCTTCTGTGTGTCAGAGGATAATGTCTGTCCTTTCTCTGCCCAGGGTCACCACAGCCTTTCCCTGTTCCCTATGTGCTAGGGACTCATGGAGCAGCATGGTCCCCGAGCTCCATCACCCTCTCAGGGCCCTGGCAGCCCAGCGGGCGTCCTATGGGACCCCGGGCCATGGGTGGGCAGCATGGGGCACTGGCTGAGATGGGCATGACTTGTCAGCATACCCCATGGCAAAGCACACCTTCTGATCCTGTAGCCATGGGATTTTACAGAGCAACTGCTTCATAAATCCTCACCAGAGAGGCTCCTACTCCACCCACAAGCTTCGCTCATGACTCTAGCTTAGGCAGCCACTGTCTTTCTCCCAGTCCCCTCCTTCCTTCCTCCTTGTATCAAGGAGAGATGGAAACTTAATACGATTTTTATGTGTTTGGTATTTATTGACTTAATGGGATCTTGGGAGTGATAATCCTGGCCCTATTAATTTTTAGCTAATGCTTGTGGGTTACATACCAGACAGGTTATGGTTTGCTTTTTTATGCTGATGAATCATGTTTTTAGCTATGAATCATGTTTTTGACACTCACTTGACATATCAGAATTGATGCCAAATGTAGAGTGCATACAATGTATTTTATTGCTGCCCAACACACTCAAACACACACATGTTCACTATAGGATTTAAATGAAAGATGTCCCTAGACTTCAAGATGCAGCTGCCATTCTCCAGTGTCTTCAAAGACTGACATTTCACTGCTAATTAGAAACAGCTTAGTTTATGCTCTTGTGCAAATCTAGGAGATAAGGAAAAGATTATGTGAATTTGTTAATTTCTGAGCAGTTATAAAGAATAATGAATTTTAATTTGAAATGCAAGCACGATAACCTCCAGATTTAACACCCATTTGGGATGGAAAGTGAAAGATTTGTCTTGGCTATGCCTTTAGAGAATCATAAAGCATCCAGCACCCAACCAATCCTTGCAGACCTCTGAACTTCTTTTTAGTGCCACAGACAATAAAATGTCATTACCCTTCCATCTGAAGACTTACATTACTGGAAGCTGTTACGAATAAATTACATAAAAATCACATTACAGCAAATAAAACAGTAGACATAGTCTTGAGCTCCCCTCTGGGAAATCACGTGCCAAGGTTCAGTTGAGAGCAGCCAGCTGAGCATGATGTGCAGGCAGCAGCTTCCCAAGACTAGCTCTGTGACACCATCAGGAATTTCCGATGTTGAACTGATGAGCAGGGTTAGAAACTGCCAATAAAGCAGAAAAAGATACTGAGAGGCAGAAAGTCTTCCCCGGACATAATGTTTCTTCCCACATTCTTATTCGATTCCATAGCTAGAAACAGTCACTGGTGAATGGGTAACTGAATAACAGCTGACCCCCCCTAGACTTGTCAAAAGGTATCTCTGGTGCCCTAATATCAGGCAGCCCTTTGGATGAGAGGTTTTGTAGCAATTTCTTGATGCTTGAAAAGGTTAAACTTTTAGCAACTGCTTTTTAACACCCTGGAATTTCGGTTTCCCTGAATTATGCAAATGCAGTTCAGCTTCCTCCCAGCCTGGTGATAAAAGAGCCACAGGAAGCAGCTCAGCAAACTTCAGTGACCATAAGACTAAGTTAATAAAAGAAATCAGGAAGCCTCTATTGTTTAGAGAGAAGGCAACCATCATCTGGACTCAGTTCCTAAAGAATGGGATGAAATCACCATTAATTTAGTCTCTATATTAAGTGCAAATGTCTTTCTTAAACAACATCTCTCTCAAACACAGTTAATCAAACTCAATACAGGAACTGCATGGAGATGCTTTGTGGTCTATGTCTTGCAGAAGGACAGAGCAGGTGATCCCTAGGGCTTGTGATCAGCTATAAATGGGTTACCAGAAGGAAAAATCCAATCCAGTCCATTCTGCTTAGGTCATAGCTGCCTTCTGCAAGTCTTTGTCCTCCCTACATTATTTTCAACTGGGAGAGCCCATGCCAAAGGCATGTAGGAGAACACAGCTAGTGTCCACATCTCTTATATAAAGACACTTTTTTACTATCTTTCAGGATGTGGTACATCATAATCTCTGACTATGTGTGTTAAACTATGGTGTGTCAGGCCATACAGTGTCAAAACAACTCCAGATATACCTTAAAGGGGAGGACAGGGCCTTGGAGCAGCAGAGTAAGAATTTGAAGCAGGTTGGCTAATTCTAATTGATTTCTTCATGAACACCCTTCCTGTGAAGTAAGATTACAGTTGTCCTGGAATATGGTAGAGAAGGACCAGCAGAGACTGGATTTTCAGGGATTTCCCATCTAATTGAAGAGGAAGAGGCAGACTAGTAAGGGATGGTGAAGGTGATGGATTGCAAGAAGACTAAGCTAACAGCACCTCTGCCTCAGGTGGTGTCTGAGTGGGGCTGAATGGATGCTCAAGGATTTGGGGTGAGGGAGGTGGTGTGGGGGGGGGGGGGGGGGGGGGGAGCAGAGTCACTGTGATGACCTTAATTCTTTTATTTCTTTGGGCATGAAAGAGTTTGACCTTGTAGAGGATTTATTATTTTTGGCAGACCTCAGACAACTTCATACCTTTTGTGCTACTCTCAGGCTCATCATCGTCTTTCCAGGGTGAGAGGTCGAGTGTGTGAACACATCCCTGGGTACCTTTTTGATATGTGTATTGTTGCAGATCACTGTTGACAGTGAGATATTTCTCAGTGCATGCAGCTGCTGCAGAGTGAAAACTCCTGGTTTCTCCCAACAGAATCTGTAATGATATTTTCAGAAGCACTTACAGTCTTCTTGAAGGCATTTAGTACTGGTTACTTGGCAAGATGGGAATCTGACCATGGTGCTTGCTGCAGGGGAGTTGGACTAGGTGACATCTGAAGATCCTTTCCCACCCAAACTATTCTATGATTCTATTCTATGACTGTATGTGTGTCTTTGCTTGGATCCATCTTGATTCATCAGGCAGCCCTTTGGAAAGAGGTGTCTCCTGAATCATCAAATCTGGACTCTGTCATTCATCTGCCAGTGCAGAGAGCCTGATTCTCAGGCTGCTGGAGTACAGTGACTGACCCTCCCCTTTTGTGCCCTGAGAGCAAAAGTCACCTCAGGCAGAGACTACTGCTCCTCGGCCACATCAGTCCATAGGAATGAGCTGCAAAAGAGTCCTTTGGCAACTGGGCTAAAATCAAGGTGTGAGCCTTGCTGGGAGCACTCACTGACATGTCGGAGACAGGCAGGATGAGTGTGTTGCATAAAATGTCAGCATTTTTTCTCATAATAAATGCCATGGGGATGGTTTGCTCTCAGAGCTACCTACCTGTTCCCATGACGCAGGTTCCTGAACGGGGTGCCAATCATGCAGGCCAGGAGGGGGTCCAACTCTGGCTTGTGGAACAAAGGGCTCTGCGATTGCCCCAATCCAGAGGTCAATATTGTCTGGTGTCCCATACAACTCCATGAACTTCTTGGCCAGTTTGGAACTGTCCAGCGCCTCAGAGAATTCATCTACGTTTTGAGGCTGAGAGAGCCCACAGAAGCGCCTCCAGGCATTGTGACCTGCAAAAGCAGGAACAGCAGAAAAACCAGGACCTATGCCTCCCCATTGTCTGCCTAGGCTTGGGAGCTAAACAGACAGTTTGGCGCATAAACAATGTCAACTTCTCATGGCATTAAAGGAGCTGGAAGACATGATTTGCTAGACAGTCACAACAAATGCTGTGTTTCCAAAGGTGCTTTTTGTACACACACGCTAAACTGACAATTTGGGTTGTCTTTGCATGTGACTACAGGTTCATTGCATCCTGTCAGTTAGAGGTACCCTAGTGTTGAGGGTGAATGCACCAGCCCTTGCATTTTTGGGAGGCAAAACTTCTAGGATCAAAGTCCTGGGAAAGCAGCATTTGGCTGTGCTTAACCCAAGAGCAGCTGTTCTAGAGCACCTGGGAGCAATCAGACCTGTGTGTGAAAGCCACTTCTCACAGCTCCGGTTGTCTGAAGACACGAAATAAGCTTTGATGGGCAAAGCACAAAGCACAGATGGTCTGCCTGGCCCACATGAAACCCGAGCTTGGTTGCTTCCATCTGTACCTTCTATACCATACATGCTCTCTTTTCGCAGCCCACCACTGTTTCTGCCACTCCTCATTACGTTATCCCAACTACCATCTTTGCTTTCTAAGCCTTTTGCCCTTTTCTTAAACCCCTCAGAAAAAACATCTTTATAATAACAGAGGCCTTTTGTTCCCTAAGCTTAATTGTTTATCCATCCTTTGCCCTCAAATCAGAGTACTGTTTCTCCTCATTGGTATAGAAAAAGCTTAGTATACTAGAATTACTATAGACAGCAAAAGCAAAAAGAGTATTTTCACAAGAAATGTGGACTTGTGTGTCCTTACCTGGAAGGCCATGGTCTTTTCCCCACTGCATATGCAGGGCTGTGAGATCCAGACCCATTATCTCTATCTGTTCAAAAAGGTGGTTCTGGAGCTCCTCAATGAGCAGTTGATTCTGTTTTATCAGTTTTGCATGATCAGCTACCATGCCCCTTATCAGTGGGTTGATGCCACCTGCATTCATTGCAAATCAAGGAAAGACTTTTAGTACCAAGTTGCAGTTTTGATGGTCCCGTTTTGCAGCTGAAATAGTGCTGCATTAAATGTCTTTTCTACTCTGGGCTGTGTGGAGTTTACCTAACTCCATATTTCCATTGCAACATGTTAGTGCATATGCACATATCTGCATATGCCAGTAGACGAGGCCCCACTTTAGTAACTAGATTCCACACCCCTCCTCATCCCTCATCATTCTCTTCCACAGCCCTAAATCCACTTGTCCACCAGGACCTCAAAATCTCTTTCTGCAGAACTGCTCCATAGCCTGTCAGTACCCATCATGTACCAATCACAGAATCATAGAAGGTTTCAGGTTGGAAGGCACCTTAAAGCTCACCCAGTTCCAACTCCCTGCCATGGGCAGGGACACCTTCCACTAGAGCAGCTCGCTCCAAGCTCCGTCCACCCTGTCCTTGAACACTGCCAGGGATGGGGCATTCATGGAATGTCCAAGGTTCTGTTCAAGGTTTAGGTTTTGCAATTGATTTTGTTTATAATTAGTTATTAATTGACAAGTATTTATTAAAACATTACATGCAATGATGGAATCATCCATGTCTGTTTGTCTATGTCTTTTTCATAGCCATTAAGGAGACAGTATTAGTAAAACACAGGAAAATTGGCTGCGCATGTGTATTTTGGTATGCTTCCCATAATCAGTTAGATAACTCATTTTGGAAGAGACATTTGTCTTCCTTGGAAAGATTCATGTCTGCAGATACCAACTGTATAAGAGCAGCATCCCACAGCTCCCTTTAGAGAGATGGCTACCACCAGGAAACAATTGTTCTGTCTTTTAGCTCAGTTAAACTGGATGCTTCACCCTCTGGCAATGCCTACTAAATACATAAGTAACAGTTTAGACTAGAGGATGGAATAGGTTAGATTGACCTAAATTTTGACTGACATTTGGTGCAGAGAGTTTCATGCTTCCTGGAACAGCATGGTTCTTTTTCTGGAGGAAAACCACTTCCTAAACATGAGGATGATGAACAGTGAGCAGTGATTGTCACTACCTGGTTTATGGCAATGTTTCGACTCTCTTGGTAAAGCTTTTCTCCATGCCAGTGAGGATTTAGTTTCTGCAGCTCTGTAACCAGGCAGTTGTGTTCTTGTAGGAAGACAGTGTGCAGTGAGAAAATCCCAGGTTTTCAGTTACCCCTTTGTCACCTATAAATGAAAATAGGTTAGGAATTTTTCTTAGGACAGATGAGTAACAACTGATAGTGTTACTCGCAGTATGATCATGGTTAAGCCTCCCATCAGTCAGCATTCATGCCAGACAAAACATTCTCTGTTTAAACCATTTAGCCAAAACCATCCGAGAAGAGGCTTTGCACAATTTAAACTACATTGCACATGGTCATGAAGCACCTGTAACTGTCTCATTTTGTGAAAAATCTCATATCTGCCTTCCTTTCATACCTCAAGGATAAAATCTTCTTTTACACCGGTGCTATGATATATATATTCTTAGGATTCACTTTGCAAGTTTCTCGCTTACACTTATTTTTTTTATGTTGTGCCTATGATGGATTTTCCCATTTTAATAAGTTCTATGTTTTGAGTCATCAATCTCAAGTTTGTTTTAATGTTAGACAAACTTCTAGACTTGTCTTCTGATGTAGGTTGGGATATTTGAAATATTAAACATTTAGAAGGTGGTACCAGAGAGATTTAACTGAAGTGATTAAGAGTGTTTAATTGTTAGTATTGATTGAGTTGAAAACTGAATGGTGAATTCTAGGTAAGAGGGGGGAAAAAAAAGTAACTGAGAAGTTTTAAACGCTGGTGTTTATTCTATTGAAAAGTTCTTCTGCCTTTGAAAAGACATTTTAAAGAGAGGATGATCTGCTGCAGCTCTTTTGGGAAATGAAAGCAAAATAATTTTCATCTTTAATTAAACAATTATTGTTCAATTATTATTATTTTTTATTTGGGGGGTGGTGTCCTGTCTTTCACCTTACACAATCATGTCTTGCAGTGTCTCATAGAAACACAAAGCAACATCAGACACCTGACCATCATGATCCTTTTTGACTTTCTGGACCACTGAATACTACTCCACAGATGCAACTTACCTGCTTTAAAACAGGGGATGTTCATGCCCTCATTGGTGAGAACACAAACACTTCTTGGTTTGTTCTCAAAGGGCAGAAATTCCAGCCCTGCATCAGTAAAATTGTGGTTCACAGACATCAAAGCCAGCTGGTTCATCTGATTTCTAATGCTCTTTGCCACAAAGTCCTCACTGCTGTACACTGTGCTGGCATTGATGAAGGAGCTGATGGCATTGATCTGCTCACGAGTATACGTCCTGGGGTTGCACACAGATGCCGACTGGATGAATGGCATGCAGGAGTGTGAGCTCGGCATCCAGGGGCCATCAGGGGGAAACTAGAGCAAACAAACCTAAGTGATGCCTCGTAAAGTCATGAGGTTTTATTTTTACTGTCTTAGGATAGCGTAGGATGGAATGAAAATTGGGGTACCTTAATCGGGAAGCAAGGAGACTTGAAGGCACAGTTGATCTCACAGTGAAACTCGAGGCTTACTCACTCCTGCACCAGTGGAAAGGGCCAAGTCTATGTCACGGTTCACCCACTGGCCTCAGTGCATGCAGACAAGAGAGAGCTCTTGATCCTGAGTGATGTTCTCATTGGCTGTGTGAGCAATTTCATTTGACACTTTTTGAACCCGCAGAAACTCAAAATGAAAACGTGTGACTCTGACACAGTGAATTTACCTCTTAGTACAACACCCGCTATGAAACCACACACAGGATGGTCTCAGATAAGATCGTAAGAGTTAATTATTGCATTACACAGACCCATGCTATCCCCCAGCTCTATCAGAACAGAAGTGATAAATAGCACCGTCTTGGCTCAACAGTTGTTCAGCCAAGCCCAGCTTCATGGAAAGCCTTTGGCAGCTGAAACTGATGTAAGTGGAGAGGGCTTTCGACAAGGGCCTGTAGGGACAGGACAAGGGGAATGATTTTAAACTGATGGAGGGGAGGTTGAGATGAGACCAGTTCTCAACAGAGAGAGTGGAAATCCATTATGTTCTCACCAGTGGGAGTGGAAAACCATTATGCAGTTTTCCTTCACTTGCTCCTCTGGGAACAGAGACTCCATCTTCACACACTGCTGGGAGCCAGCAAGCAAACATGTGGTTTGAGGACCCCAGATGAGAATGCTTTCTGCAGCATCACAAGAAGAAAAGCAAATGCCAGTAATGAACAGGCTTGTTAGTTGTAGAGACTGACATCTTGCAGCACTTTAATCCGTGTTTGATTACTCTGGCAGCAGAGGCAATAGCCAGAAAACAGTGAGAAGTAAATAATACCAAGAATATTACTGCAGAGAATTTTGGACATTAAGAAAAGTTTTGCCATGTTATTATGTTAATTTTATTTGGCATTTATAACTCTGTAACACCTCTGTCTCCACTGCTGCTCCACACAAAATCAAGGCCATCACCAGTGATCAGGGTGGCCATGCCTTTGCCCAGCTGGGAAATTTTCAAAGATGAAGATCCTCCACCCCTGTGGGGACTTGTGCCACAGCTGCTCCTTCAGGAATTTTTTCCCCACATCCAACACAGAACCTCTCAAACTGCAACCTGCATCTGTGGCTGCTTGTTCTATTACCTCACACTGCTCAGAAGAATTTGGATCAGTAAACTCAGCAACACTTGTTCAGAAGAACAATAATGATTGATCTGTGGCCCTAAGGACACAGAAACACAGGTGATTTGGGGGAAACCAGTTACTGAATATCAGCTTGTGTTTTAAACTCTTAAAGCCACAAAATCTGGTAATACCTGCCTATACTGAAAAAAAGAGTGGAACACCCAGAATTGACAGCAGTGTGCTGGGAAATGAGAGCATGCCCTGGAACAGTTGCCACACCACACCTGAAGAAATTCCATTAAATATTAAGGACCCAGTTCCACCATGGCTCTTGTTTGGTTTGCTGTTACTGTCCCTGCAGGCAGAGTTTTGCAAGATACTTGAGTGCTCTCTCATGGTGTGTGTCTCAAGCTGAGCATGATCTTGGAAAAATGTTAACATACCACAGAGTCCCCTTGCTTCTGAGTGCCTTGATACCTCAGTGGCAGCCCACTAGATTCGCAAGGCCAAGTACAACCCCCTACCTTGAGCCTAAAATTCAGCATGGGGAGGTTTAGACTGGATATCAAGAACAATCTCTTCCCCAAAGGGGTGATGGGTTCAAACTAAAACAGGGGAAGTTCAGGTTAAAGGAAGAAGTTCTTTACTGTGAGGGTGCTGAGGCACTGGAACAGGTGGCTCAAAAAAGTGGCAAATGCTAGATCCCTGGCAGTGTTAAATGCCAGGTTAGGCAGACACTTGGCCTACATGGTCTAGTGTGAGGTGTCCCCGCTTCTTAGGGTCCTTTCCAACCCTAACTATTCTGTGATCTGTTACAGGCACCACTAAAATGGGCATTTCACTACTACTGGCCTATTGAAAGGTACTTAAACAAATGACCTTAAGCCACATATCATGGGTCAAAGTACAGTCTCAAGACTCCGTCTGTCCACACACAGATCCTGCCTGTTGTTGCACTCCCCAGTAATGGTGCAGTAAACATGCTTTGGGCATTTAATGGAAGGAATCTGATAGTCACAGTCAGTTCCTTTGGAAATCACCTCCTGTTTTCTGTCTAATAGGTCTGTAAGAGAAACCACACAAAATTACACCTGCTCTTAGTTTTATTTTAGATTCTTGGTATTCTAGGTCAACATTTGAGTGTGCTGAATCAGAGCTTTTTGTACATAACAACTGGGTTTGAACTGCTAATTTGGTGCCTAAACCCTTTTGTGGATCAGCTCTCAACTGCTGGGTTAGGGAAAGTGGGTTGGCATGCAACAACTTCCCAGCAGAATATGGGGAGCATATGGGACAGGCACTGCAAAAGATGGTGAATAAAACAGGTGGTTGGTCTGCCTTTGAACATGCTTAAAGTCTATTCTCCCGGGGCTGTTGTGAGGCAGTTCTCTGAGCCATGGCAGAGCTTCTCTCTGACATTCCTGATTTGGCAGATTTTCTCCTCTTAGTTGTTTCTAAGATATTCTGGTCTAAACCACATTACCTGTAACATTGAATCTCAATTTCCCAGAGAGGTGCAGCTTTATTTTGAGGAGTTTCAAAGTAGTTTCCAAGTAATCAGCAGCATTGACTGTAGATCTGGTTCTTCCTACTGGGTCCTTTAAATGCTTCAGGAAATCCATTGGGTTGGCAACCTTTCTCTCTCATTTTCTCTTTAAGCTGAACACAAAAAAAGAGTCCCATGAAGCACCTTCTCTGAAATCAGACCTCCTCTGTCATGCTAGGGTGGGTGTACTTAGATGTGACAGCACTGCTGGGTCCTAGGCAGGCGCTGCTCACATAGGACAAGCTGGGTGTTCATCAGCTTTATACTTTGTCTCAAGCACATTTTGGCAAATGAATCATTGTGATCCCCTACTTCAAGTTTAGATTACATCTTTGTCGCAGTAAATTTTGTTATATCATGTAAAAAGCTAGATCAGTGGAAAACTGAGTTATTCAGTGACTGGACAAAATTTTACATTTAGTATGTCACAAGATATATTCTGTGAAAAGAGAGACAACCTTGGTCCTGTTGCATCTCTTCCCAACCCCATAGCTCTTTCTTGCAGAGCAAAAAACCTTCCCTAGGGCAGATGGAAAGAGACTTCTCCTCAGAGGCCTGGGACCAGCCTTTGGTACAATACACAAAGGGATACCTGGAGTTTGACTTCCACAGAGATGTATTTATTACATGGTGCTCATCTGCACAACTCCGCCCCTTCCAGAAAGGGGTAGAACTTCAGCAGTCAGGAGAGGACTCAGCATGTGTCCACTGTGCCCATACCACTATGAACTACTGAGAGGCATCTGTGGCAGTGTAGGTGAGGAGGCAACAGCTGTGGGTGATGAAACGTGGCCCTGGGGCTAAGGTGGGACACCAGAATCCAGCCAAACTGGGCAAAAGGACCTCTCCAGCTACTACAGGGAGACCCCTAGGAAAAGGGTGTCTCCATGATAAATCATGGAATATTTTAGGGATCTTAAAGCTCATCCAGTTCCAACGCCCTGCCATACTCAGCAACATCTTCCACTAGACCAGGTTGCTCCAAGCCATGCAGGGGGGTTTATGATCTTAAGGTCCTTTCCAAACCTAACCATTCTATGATTCTGTGGGGCAGCCACAGCTTCTCTGGGCACCCTGTGCCAGCACCTCAGCACCCTCACAGGGAAGAGCTTCTGCCTAAGAGCTCATCTCAATCTCACCATGGAGCAGGTTATCTTACATTTACGATCTGTGGAAATTCTTTGATCAAATTTACAGGGATTGAAGGCTACTTCTTCCTTGCAATCTTATACTGCAGGGTATTGCTACATGAGGCAGAAACACTGAGTTTTCTTGCTTCTCAGAATGAATGTATTTATTTCACATATGGGGAGCAAAGATAGTGTGAAGGACCACCTAACAGCTCCTAACACTGTACTGTGCCCTCATCTCCTTGGGCTCCCCCATGGAATGCACCAACACCTGCACTAGAAATACCAAATCAGACAAATACACATATAAAACGAAAAAGTACTGATCTTACCTGCCACCTCTGCAGAGCTGGTAGGACTGGGAAACAAGGCAGCCTTTATAGCACCAGGGCAAAAATTAGCCTGGTCTGACCTGGGTGGGTCCAACAAGGGAGAAACTATGACCAGATTGAGCCAAGAGGAAATATCTGCAAGTTTGCTTTCCTGGATTAAGCAGAAAGGTGCACAATTCTCCACTCCTTCTGAGTAAATTTTGACTTCATCTGACAAATCAATAAAAAGGGAAAAAGAAAAAAGGCACACATTTCTTTTCTGCAAGTCAAAGAAATCCTCTTAATTTCATGATGGTAAAAGATGATGTTGGAATTTGGCTTCTTTTTCCCCATTAGCTGATGTCTCCAACGGTTTGGGAAACCAGAAACAGGTCATTTTGCCAACATGTGTTTGTGGAGTATACCAAGGTCCAAACGCAGCATGTCTGAATGGTGGACCTGACAAAACTTGTATCCAGCAGAACCAAAGTTTTGTTTAATTTAAAACTGCCTAGTGAGTTGGTTTGTGTAGTTAGAAAACAGTCAGATCATCAGTGAAATGCATTTTAATAAAATGCTGATCCTTGTGGAATGCAAAGACTGGACAAAGAACAAGGCAGCTGCACAGAGCAAACTCGAGCCACCTCCAGTAAATTTATATGCATAATAATACGGACAATCACAAAATTATATCTTTGCAAATAAGGATGGGCCAGAAGTGCAAAGTGGGAGATTCCATCCCGAAATGTCTAGGAAGGAATAATGTGTTGGCCCAGACAAGCACTTCAGCATGGATTCCAACAGCTACACAGTAGGGAAAAGAGCTGCACTTCAGTGGACATATGGGAAGGTAGTGGAAATAATTCAATTCTTAGACCATCAGCCAGGCTGATCACAAAAGACAATGCTGAATTCTTACTGACAACCAGCCGTGTAAAACTCACAGGATTAGGTAGCAAATCCTTCCTACTGTTTAAATATTTTCACTGTTCTTATTAAGCCAAAATAAATAAAGAGAAAATAGGAGAAAGAAAACTGCTAACAAGTATGTGTGTCATCTACTCCAACAGATGAAGGGCAGAGCTTGTGAAGGGATGGAGTGAGCAGGATAAAGCAGAAAAAAGTAAGAAGTGATAGTTTAGAAGCACAGACATTGTAGGGGGAGTAGAGGAGGAAAAGTTCCCAGCAGTTCAGGGATGATATTTAATAAAACCGTTTTTTCCAGCTTTGAAAACATAAAGGCTTTAGAACTAAGAAAGTAACTTTACCTCTTTATGAAGCAGGCCATCTTGTTCTGTGCTCAAGGACAAATACAGCCTTTGGATAGAAGAGAAGTTTCAGAAGATGGTGCACAGGGGAAAACTGGTGATGTAAATACTCTGCACAGCTCCTAGTCCAGCTTTCTGAAATAGCGCTTACAGACTCAAGGGTCTGTAACCCTTGAGTCTGGAAACACTCTCGTTACTGGTCTCTGTGGAATACATAAGGGGCCAATGCCAGAGCAGCAATGTGGGTTGGACAGCACATGAAAAACTGAGAAGTTCTGGGCTAAGAGATTATTTCCTTTTTACTTCATCATTCTATAGAGCTATAGCTCTCCCACCTGCTGTAGCTTTCCCACCTTCTGTAGCTGTCCCACCCAGGCCACGTTCCTTCTGCCCATGGTTCATCCCTACGAGCCAGCAGCTCTGGAGGAGGAGAAATGGCTCACCGGAAGGGTTTAGCTCTCCAGCCTGGGGCTCGTGAAGTTTGCTGAGAACAAGCCCTCGGTCCCACAGCAGGAACTGGTACCCATCTTGCAGGAGCTGCACATGTGCTTGAGGGCCCTATGACTGTGGCATGGTTAGCTCACACCTAACTTCTCTTGGTGGGACAGTGTTGGTGTGGGAGTGACAGCAACAGCAAGGGATGCTCAGGAGGTGGCAACACAGGGCTTTCTAGCTTCACCAAGGTGTTCATATCAGGGGTTTCCCCAGCTGCATGATGCCAAGGAGTGAGATTATTACCTGTCTTTGAAGTCCTTTAAAGGCTCACCACTCATCAACACCCAAAACTATGAAGTCTTCTTAGTGCAGCCCTTCTTCAGCCATCTTGGCCGCATCCTTACACATCTCATGATGTAGATGGTCTGACCTGCCAGGGATGAGACCTGGAGGTCATTGTCTCTTTTCAAAAGCTGCAGGACTGTGACAGAATATCAGTATCTCATGTGTCCAGGGTTGGAGCTGGTCTGAGCATCTGTTTTCCAACGCATCAATGCATCCGAGCAGTGGACACCCATGCCTGGCTACTCATCCATGCCTGTGGGACTGTGCCAAGGCTGCCTCAGTGTCAGGACTCTGATCCACCCTGGCCCATCAAACCACCCAGCAAGGCAAAGGCCAGGGAGGAAGGTGGTACAGACAGACCCTCCTCAGGGCTGGCAGCTGAGCACAGAAGCTAAGTTCCTACATGGGGAGGTCTCCATCCAAACTGCTTCCTGCAGATAAGTCCTGGTGGGAGAGCTGTGAGGTGTCAATGACATAGTGAAGCACATGCACAACTTTTGGGCATAAGTCTAGGAACACAGAGAGAGAGCTTTGGATATCTCAGGGTGAGTTCCCAGAACCAGCTCCCACACCGAACCAAGGACAGTCTTCTAGGACCATCCTCCAGATAGTACATTTGTGCTCCAAGGAGTGGCCAAGGTCACTACCAGACCTCACTCAGCAAAGATTTCCTCTCAATAGTCATCTTTCCTTCCTTTCTCCAAATCCCTTCTTCCAAAATCTGGAAGGCAGGCAGCAACCTGGTGAAAACCACACAAGTCTGCAACATCATCCTGACAGCTGTAGGACAAAACACTGCCTGCTCTGTGTGTCAGACTGACATTAGCCAAGTCTGAACCTGTTTTCACAGAGGCAAATACTGGGGCAAGACGGAAGTGGAGGAGGCTGGGATGTTCCCAGTCTGGGAAAGGAGGCTGGGGATGGTCATCTTGTGACGAGTTTCCTATTGGATACAAGGAGACAAGATGGGACATAGGCCTCCCACCATGTCCGTCCCCCATGGCTCCACCACTGATGCTGTGACTGGTGCCTGGTTCCCTTTCCTAGCACTGCTGGGATGCTGATCTCCGTATCACCTTAGCTCTGTGCAGGGTTGGTGGTGGCAGTAACAGCGGTACCTGTGCTGGGAGTGCATGGGGTCCAGGATGACGGAACCCATGTCCAGGGTGGGATCAGGTCCTGTTCCATCCCCTGGGGCAGGGTGAGAGCCTTGTGCTCCTAAGGAGCCCCTCAGTGCAAGCTGCTGTGATGGCCAAGTGGTGAAGGCGTTGGACTTGAAATCCAATGGGGTTTCCCTGCGCAGGTTCAAATCCTGCTCACAGCGGGAGCTTTTATAGGCAGCCCCTTGCTCTCCTGCCCCCAGGAGGGATAGACACAGACCTGTCACTCCTCATCAAGGGATCCTGCAATCCTCCCCTGTCCCTCATCTCACGGGGACCTCTTACCCTTTAGGAGATGGGCCACAGCAGAATTTAAGGCAGCAGCCCTGCACATGTCCTTATGACAAGAAGAAATCCTGCAATAGAATGTCCACTCCACACACCCTACAGGCCATCACAGCCTTGCGGCTGCGCTCCGCCACAGCTATTTTTCTGCTGGGGGTGCAGCCTGATGGCAGTGGGGGTACAGGAGGCTGCTGCCACCCCCAAATTCATCCAACCCTGACCCAGCACCATGAATAGATGTGGGTGCTTCTGAATGCTAGGAGCCACTCAAGGGCAGTGCAGCAACCCAGGAAAATGTTGGGACCTGCAGTTCCTTCAGAACCCCCTTTTCTCAGCCAGGAATTGAAACTAGGCCGCAGGAGTGAGAGTGTTGAATCCTGGCCACTAGACCACCAGGGATGAGCTGGTGATTGTGGTGGATCCATCAGTGGCCACCAACCAAGCCCTGAAAGGACAGTGCTGCTGGTGATCCCCCACCCCTGTCCTGCAGACCACACATAGCCTGCTTCCTTAGCCCCATACATTTCACTTAAGAAAATAAGACTTGAGAATACACTTTACTTAAGAAAAAAAGAAAAAGGAAAGTCAGGTTGGGGCAAAACCAAAACCAGACTTCTCCACCACCTCATTCATGTCCTCGCTTCAGCTGGGATAGAGTTCATTTTCTTCCTAATAACTGGTGCAGTGCAGTGTTTTGCCTTTAGCGCGAGAATGATGTTGATAACACACCAATGTTTTAGCTGTTGTTCAGTAGCGTTGCAGTAAGAGTATAGAAATTTGGCAGAAAATCCCCCCTGTGCTCCAGCCAGTGCTCCAGGATCAGAGGGGCTCGGGGCAGCTAGGCTGCATTTCTGATTATCGCCAATTGGACATAGTATGTCCCGTCACAATCATTAGGAACTGTTACGATTCTGGATTCATGAATAGCGTGTTTTCTTGAAGCAACAGAAACACAGATTCGGATTGCCACTGATACAGTCACTAACTGCATTAGTGCTAAAATCCAAAGCTCAACAGTGATTAACTGAGCTCATCTAGACAAAGAAAACAATCATTCATTCATTAAAGTCAGTTCCCACCTAGTCAGAGGCACAAATTTTGCCAGAGGCGCCCCTGCTTTGGGGAGGAGAGAGGAGCGAGCCCATTGGCTTGTCTGTAAAGTGGGGCCCTATTTTCATCCTCTGCCATGGAGGAGTTCAAATGCCCAATTTATACTTCTAAGAGAAGTGGAGATAAGACTGCAGTCAAATTTCCTATTGCTGCCATCACAAGCGGGAAAGTAAGGGGAAGGGGGGCAGCCACTGCCTCACTTTGATGTATTTATTATCTCTAAATGAAAGATAACAAGAGTTTCAATTACCTTCCGTCAGGCTGCTCCAGGGCTGTGGGTCTTGGTTGAGGGCGGAATAGAACCATGAAACATTCACATCACTCCCTCTTCCACCCCACTGAGCAGCCCATCTCCCCCATCAGGGGGTTGCAACTAAGACCTCGTTAATCCCTTCACCGCACATCTCATGACCTCAGGTCTCATTCCTACAAGCAGTGCTCACCCTAATCAAAGACTTTTCTGCCTCTCATGCTCTGCCAGCGAGGAGAGGCACAAGGAGCCAAGAGAGAGCAGAAACAGGACACTTGACCTGAACTAGATGAAAGCATATTCAGTTCCACAGCACCTCATACCCAGTATATAAACCAGGGGGAGTTACCCAGAAGGGACTGACTGCTGCTCGGGGGCAGGCTGGTCATCGGTCAGCAGCTGGTGAGCAACTGTATTGTGCATCACAGCTGTTTCTTGCTGGGATTTTTATTTCCCTCTTTTAGTTTTATACGTATCTCCTTGTTATTTTCCTTTTTATTAGTACTAGTATTATATTATATTTAATTCTAATTGTTAAACTGTTCTTATCTCAGCCCGTGGGTTTTACATTCTTCTGATTCTCCTCCCCATCCTGCCCAGGGGGGCAAAGGGGGTGAGAAAGTGGCACCTAGTTGCTGGCTGGGGTTAAAACACAACAACTCACATCCTAGAAAAGAGGTTTCCCGCT